CCCCGCAGCCGGCCCTCCAGTCCTGGCTCACCCTAGAGACGCAGCAGTGGAATTCTTAGGGAAGTTTTTACTATGAAGGTGCCCAGGCCCCTCCCCACAGCTGGCAGTGGCCATTTCCTGGTCTCGGTCAGGGGAGGCGGCAGAATTGGCAGCAGGATGCAGCAAAGGAGATATGCAGGTAAAGAATATCTCAAGCTCATTAAGAATGTCATTGCCTATTTCATGGCCTCCTAACGGACAAAGACAGGACAGCGTGGCTTAAAGGAGACAGCGAGGTGGGCTCCACTGTTAACTATTGTCCCGTGATTTCCAGGGCTTTGTCACACACCGGCAGAGGTGCCCCGGGGCTGCTGTCCTGGGCTGACGCTGTTAACTATTGTCCCACCGACAGAGGTGCCCCGGGGCTGCTGTCCTGGGCTGACCACGCGCAGGAAGTGCAGGTAATGAGTCAGGTCTCCTAGTGATCATTGTAAGAGGAATGTAACAGCAATAAATGCTAAGTCTGATATTTGGCTTTTTCAAACATCAACTGTATTTAGTTAGTTCCGGGTGGGAGAGACCTGGCTTGGAGACTGACCACCACCTGGGCCACTCAGCAGGTCCCCACAGTCTAACCTGACACTGGGGCAAAGGCAGCCCATTCTCGCGTCATCACTGGGAGGCCGGGGTCCTGCTCCCCGCCAGGCACCGAGACTGCCGTGGTCACTTAAAGTGAGTCCAGCAGCTGAGGCCTCCTCCCCTGTCCTGTGACGAATGGGGGACGTGCTGGGACATTTCACGTGGAGAACAGGAGACTCGGGGAGGAAGGGAGCCGCCTTCCGAATTCTGAAGGACAGTCGTGGGTCTGCCAGGGACGCCCTTGCCCGCAGGCTCCAGGCCCCCCTGTGGGATCAGGTCCCTGCCCCCCTCTCTGGCTTCATTCCTCAGCACACACCTATCCCTGGGGACCCTGGGCTCCAACCCTGTGCTTCGGCTCTCCCTCCTCTTCCTCAAGCCGTCCCTCTGGCCCTCTGCATGTTGTCCCCTCCACCTGCGAGGTCCTGGCCCCGCCCTCTGCTTGCTCACCCCCAGGCCTCTCTACCCCATGAGGGGAGGATGTGCTGACACCCTGCCTAAATCAGGTCCCTACGCCACGCCCTCATGAGTCTCTCTACCCGTATGCAACAGCATTGATCCCACTTTAGAACTTATTTAGAATTTTATTACCTGTTTTACATCCGTTTTCTTTTTTTAAAAGATTTTTTATTGATTTTTAGAGAAAGGAAGGGAGAAGGAGCGGGAGAGAAACATCGATATGATAGCGAGGCATCGATCAGCTGCCTCCTGCGTGCCCCCTACTGGGGGATCCAGCCAGCAACCCTGATATGTGCCCTGACCTGGAGGGAAACAGGCAACCTTTCAGTGCAGGGGAAGGTGCCAGCCAACTGGGCCGCCCGGCCAGGCTCCATACATTTTCTATACCGTGAGCTCCATGAGGTCTCAGCGGCCTCAGTCTCCTCCCCGATGCCCAGCACGAGGCCTGGGTCAGTAAATGCGGGTTCTGCCTTGAATCCACGAATGAATGGCTCCATCGGGTGGGAGCTACAGGAAGACAGCGTTGAGCTCAGTGAAAATCCACTTTCCAACACTCCCGCTGCCCCAGTGTGGAAGCGGCGCGGTGAGGCAGGTCCCGCAGTGGCAGCAAGGAAGCAGGGCCACCCGGACGGACGGATGGACGGATGTGGAGATGGAGGCCCTGACCTCTAAGGGACCTTCTCGTGCGGAGGTTCCGTCTCCTCCGCAGCCTGAAGGAGGAGCCAGTAATTTGGGGATGGGGAGGAGCGGGAAGGAAGAACACAACCTCAGAATGTCAGGCCTGTCACTCGGGGAAACAACATTTATAGCACGAGCCTGGCTGGGACCGCGGGGGATGGGCGGGCAGCTGTGGGGACAGGCCTGAGTGGGAGCAGAAGGGGGGGGGCTGGACTCTGGAGCCCGGGGCTGCTGGCTCCTCGTCCCCCCCCCCACTTCGCCCACACACAAAGGACGGCGAGGACCTTGAGGACAGGGCGAGGTCGGAGTCCTCTGAATCCCCAGCATCCCACATGCGGGTCTCCGTTCTTCCTGCCCCCAGCCGGGACCACCCACATCATCTGGGGGGCCTGGTGCTAAAAAAAAGGCAGGCCCCCTTTGCTCAAAATACACAAAAAATCTTTAAATGATAGCAGCATCGCATCAAACCAAGCGCAGGACCCTCTGCGACCCCACATGCGGAGACCCCGCATGCCCGAGGACCAAGAACAGAGATCCAAGAGGGACCTCACCACGGTGCTGAAGCCAGGCCGGGTCTTCGTGTATAACTGTGAGCAGACACGGGGTCACTAAGCAATAGAGAAGTCAGAAGGGCGGGAGTGGGGGCCGGGGGGTATTTCTCGCACGGGACATCGTTTCGGAGCCTTAGCAGACTCCTCTGAGGATGATTCCGTTAGGGGAGCATACGTTTCACTCCCCATTTACCGTTAGGTGAAGGGCTGGCTGCTGTGGATTTACATATTAACGTGTGGATTTAGTAGTGATGTCTTCCCGACAGGAGAGATGACTCCAACGGCTACGGCTTTGCGCCGGAGTTGTTACTGACCAGCTCTGATCGTGCGCGAGCGCGCTCAGCCGCCTCCTTTCTCCAGCGCCCGCCCGGCTGTCTTCCTAACTGCTGATCCCGTCCTGCTGGCTCCCCGCTCTGCTCCCACTCGAGAGCTGAATAGGCCCCAGATGCCTCCTCCTCCTGAGACTGGAGTGAGGGTCGTTGCTTAAAACTATTTGGAAACGATGCCCTGCCTTTGGGATCAGGAGAGGATTTCCAAGCAGATTCAAGGGAAACTGCATCCATAAACAAGAACCGGCCCAAGCTGCCCTGGATAGTAATAAGCACAGAGCGGAAGCGGTCTTGGGAATTAACGAGATGCAGAGGAGATGAAGGGGGGGGCGGGGGGGACATGGTCAGTGATGGAGAAGATGGAGGCCAGGAATTCCCTCCTCGCACGGAAGAAATCTGCGAGGGGAAGGGGGCCGATGTGGCGAACAGACGGAGGGAAGTACCCATCGCGTGGGAAAGTCAGGAGGGACCGGAAGAGAAAGGACGATGATCGAAGAGGAAATCCCCCTGGAGTTCCGGAAGGTCCCACGGGAGCCTCTTCACCAAGGCCCGGCCCAGCAAGATGTCTGAACCGAAGGTGAGAAGCCCTGCGGGCCTCCAGCGAGGAAGAAGCGGCCGCTGCCCAGAAGGAAGAGGCAGGCCCGTCCGGGCGCCCCTCGCCCCGGAGAGCGAACAGCGCTGCGTGCCGGGTTCTGAGGGAGGAAGTGTGAGAGCAACACAGACAAAAACCACCCTCACTCGCCAAGGTCAACGGAAAACATGCGTGCAGAGGCAAGGCTGAAAAATGACACCACTCAAATACCCATTCTTTAAATTAGAGAGAAAACACACACACACACACACACACACACACGCACACACATGCGCGCTCATGCGCATACACATGCACACACGCCCACGCACACACGCACACACGCACACACGCACACCGACTTAAGGAGACCCTTGGCCACACCAGAATGGGGATGAGACGAGGAACGTGGCAAAGGGAGGCATGGCTCCCAGGAAACCCGTGAGCCCAGCATGACTGAGTTCCCATGAGGCCTATACCACTCTGACCACGTGGCGGTGAAACTGAACACGGTCTTAGAAAGGTGCCTCGAAGAGGCATGACATTTTCTTGAACATGAGTGGACACGTCCTCTCGCTGCAGAACTGACGTGTGGAATTCCACACAGACTGAGTGGGACCGACTCCCTCGCAGCCACATGCCTGTCTGCCCTCCCTGCCCCTTCTCGCTGGCATCACACACACGCGTGCACATACACGCTCTCACATGCGATGACGCCCACGCAGGCCTCCAGCCTTCTCCTCTCCCCCTTGTCACTTCTGCCCCAGGGCCCCCTTGCTAGGCATGGCTGACGCCTGCCTGTCCTTCGGCTCCTGCGCCACTTCCCTGGGAAAGTCCTCGAGCCCCGCACCCCGAGCCCCGAGCCTGGCTCAGAGATGCGCTCAGAAAACCACAGCACCTGCCCGGCTGGTAGCTCTGTGGATTGAGCATCGTCCCATAGAACAAGAGGTCCCAGGTTCAATTCCTGATCAGGGCATATGCTCAGGCTGTGGGCTCAATCCTCAGTAGGAGGCGTGCAGGAGGCAGTCAATCCATGTGTCTCTCTCATTGATGTTTCTCTCTCTCTCTCCCTCTCCCTAACTCTCTATGTAAAAATCAATAAAAACTTTTTTTTTAAGAAAGCCACAGTGCTTTGCCCAGAGCCTCATCTGTGTGCGTGACACATTCCCATGTAGCATTGACTGCCTCTCCCCAGAAGGGAGCCGGGAAGATGGAGGCCTGTGTCCGGGTGTGCTGTCCTCCATGCCCTGCAGTCCTTCACAGTCCCCCAGCACAGACACGGGGAGCTTGCCCTCCCCTGGGGGTCGGAGGGATGCGCCTGGCTGGGCCAAGGAAAGCAGGAGCCAGGCCCAGAGCAGAATCAGACACAGGTGCTGCGAGGGGCCACGCTGGGACCTGGCCTCTGACTGCAGCTTCTGTCTTGGTAGAAACAGTCACGGTTTGGAGTCAGACAGTGCGTGACTCCGCTTCTCTCTGACTTGCTGAGTGATCGAAGGGTAATCATACTGCAGCAGCTAACACTTACTGGGTGCTCATTCTGACGTAGCTATATTATCATCCCCATTTTACAGATGAGGAAACTGAGGTTCAAAGAGGGTACCTGGCTTCCTCAAGGTCAGGCAGTTCGTGCAAAACAGACCCCGTAGCCACTGACAGTGCAGGAGGACACACGACTTCCCGGCGAGGGAGGAAGGGGTGTCTGTCGGCCCCAACATTACCACGCGGCTTCGCCATTGTACCAGGATGCCCCACAGGTTATTGGAACTCCGTCTGGCAAGCAGCAGAGGCACTACCTACCCAGCCATGACGATGAAGAAGTCCAGTCGGTTCCACGTGTCCCCAAGGTAGCACTTCTTGCCAAAAATGCCCAGGGCCACCATCTTGAGCACCATCTCCATGGCAAAGAAGATGAAGATGAAGTCGTCAAAGACCTGCAGGGTGGGGGGAGGCGAGAAGCGAGGGACAGAGTGAGGTTCCGCGGCAGGCCCCAGAGGTTGCAGCCACGGTGTGAGTCGGGGACACAGTCGTGGACACAGGGGGCAGAAAGAGAACCTCAGAGATCCTGTTCCAATGCACTCATTTCACAGATGAGGAGACTGAGCCCAGAGGGAGGAATGACCTTGCCCAGGGTAATGCGGCCCATTCTATTAGTTCCCTAAAACCAGGGATAATGACAAGGGACCCAGGCGGGGCTAGAACAAAGAGGCTCTTCTGAATAATTGCCAAGCTCTGGGCTACATACCTGACTTCCATTCTCTCTTCTAAGTCTCACAATGACCCCATGGAGAGTCCATTTGACAGATGAGGAAACTAAGGCTCAGAGAGGTTAAGCAACTTGCCTCAGGTCACACAGCAGGTGAGTGGCAGAACCAAAACAGACTCTCAGGTCTCTCTGACTCCAGAGCCCACAGGGAAGGAGCTCTCTCAGAACAGGCCTGACCCCGGCACGAGGCACAGGTCTCAGCCCAGATGGAGGTCCCAGATGGTCCCTGGTCATGGGCTCAGGTGAGAATACATTTCCTGGGGAACAGGGCCTGGCGGGACTCCTCCTTCCAGGACAGACAAGGGCTGCAGTCAATTCAACTCAACAAACGAGCACAGAGCACCTACTGTGTGCGGGACAGAGGCCGGAGTCGCGGACACAGAGACGAATCCTCAGTGAACTCGCCCCTGGTAGGGGAGCCAGCCCAGTACCCACTGAGGCTGGTCAGCGATAACTCCGCTTAGCTGAGGGGCTGTTACCCACCTGCCCCCCCCCGCCCCAGATGCTGATCCTGCAGGTGTGGGATGGGCCAGGGGTCAGGGTGTTTAACAAGGGCCCCAGGGGCTCTGAGGCCAGTCCCGCCGGGATTCCTTCCCCAGGGAGCCCACTGAGCACTTCCATGTGTAACATAGAACCCCAAGCCCTGTACCACGGTGCTCACGCACCGCACGGGCCACGGAGGTACCGCAGTTAGCCCCACTGGGGCCCGAGGAGACGAGAGCAGGAGGGCAACAGGAGGGACACAGGGGCCCGTGCGTGCAGGGCACCGAGAACCAGCTGCAGAGCTGCCCTTCCTCCCAGAGCCCTGGGGGTCATGGGCGGGCATCCCGGGGAAGAGTGGTGGGGTCACTGCACACTGGGGAGACCAGGAGGAGGAGGGTGGGGGCCTGGACTTGGGGCAAAGGCCGGGAGATGAAGATGGTGAAGGAGAATGGGTGAAACCGGCCGGGCGTGAGGAAGAGGTGGCCAGTTTAGCAAGGAGAGGTAGGGGTATGTGGCTTGGCTGTGCTTGGCTGTGCCTGGTGCTGGGGGTTTGGGGGAAGGGGGAGAGGCGAGAACAGGACATTATGGGTAAGTGGGTGTGGCATTGTGTGCAGGTGGGTGCAGGGTGGGGGTGAGGTGGGT